TCGCCACGATACCATATATACTCTCTCAATCTACTGACATTTGAGCGGACAGTAACCATCAGCGATCGCCAGGAAATTCTTGCGTGATGCCCCACATTGCTGATAAGGCGAATCTGTGACAGCGATCAGGCAGTCGGGTGATAAAACGCTCAATGTGGTAATGAGGCCCCCTCAGAATATTTTTTACTCGTGATATATTTTAGCGACATTTACATAGCTTGAAGTAAACTTATTGCAAATTCTTTAAATAAACTAGCATAGATTTTTTATAACCAAGCCCTAAGCTTGAGGGGCCCTAGGCTGCAGCCTATACTAGCCTATAGGATAATCCGGCCCTGGGTAATGTGTTGCGTGTTGAAATGGGGTATGTGGCTGGAGGTGTAGTGTGGGGGGTGATGAGGTAAGGCGAGGGAGAGGGTGGAGGAGAAGGGAGAGGAGAGAGGATGAAAGAGAAGAGAGAGGGGAGGGGATGAAGGAGAGGGGAGAGGGTGAGGAGAAGGGAGAGGGTGAAGGAGAAGGGAGAGGGTGAAGGAGAAGGGAGAGGGTGAAGGAGAAGGAAGAGGGAGAGGGAGAAAGGGAGGGGAGAGGGTGAGGAGAAGGGAAAGGGTGAAGGAGAGGGGAAAGGGAGAAGATGGAGAGGGAGAAAGGGAGAAGGGGGAGGGTGAAGGAGAGGGGAGAGGGTGAGGGAGATAGGAAAGGCGATGAAAAATAATAAGAGGGAGACAATGAAATAGAGGGTGTAGGAGAGGGGAAAGGGAGAAGAGGAGGGAGAGGGAGAGGGGAGAGGGAGATGGGGAAAATGATGAAAAGGATGAAGAAGAGGGAGATAATGAAATAGCGGGAGAAGGGAAAGGTCAGGAAGAGAGAAAGGATGGGGGTAAGAGAGAGGGGAAAATTGAGTGAGAGGGCGAAACAGAAGTAGAAGGGAAAGGTGAGGGAAAGGCAAAAGGCGAGAAAATGGTGTACGTGATAAGTAGTGTGGTCGTTCCTTCGTTTTTGCTTTTGCCCTCTCTCTCTCTCTCTCTCTCTCTCTCTCTCTCTCTCTCTCTCTCTCTCTCTCTCTCTCTCTCTCTCTCTCTCTCTCTCTCTCTCTGTCTATCTATTTATCTATCTCTATCTCTCTTTCTGTGTGTGTGTTTGTGTGTGTGTGTGTGTGTGTGTGTGTGTGTGTGTGTGTGTGTGTGTGTGTGTGTTTTAGCTTGTCTGCGTGTGAGAAAGAGAAAGAAAGAAAGAGAGAAAGAAAGAAAAGACAAAAAAGAGAGAGAAGACAAAAGAAATAAAAAAGTGGAAA